CCAGAGTGTTGTTCAGCATGGGGGTGAGTAGAAAATGAAGGCTAATCATGTTTTGGGTGTACTATTCCTTTAAAAAGGTTTTTTAATGTCTATATTTACAAACAGAAAGGTCAGCCTAAACTTATATACTGTCCCTATTGTAGGTACAAGCCCAGACTGCACTGGCCAATGCAGAAAGGCCAATTTATCCCTCACAGATGTGAAATTGCCTTGAACTTGGATAAAAAAATAAAAAATAAAAAAAAAAAACATAAATAGGAATCTTCATATGCTTATAGATTTTGTTTTTGTTAGCAGTTATGGACAATATTAAAGTATTAATAATGAGGCAGTTTTAAAGGTTCTCTGTATTTTGTATTATCAAGCATTCACCCAGGGCCCCAAACAATCCATGACCAACCTTGGCCATGTCTTTTACCAAAAACACAATGTGGAACTGTTTTCAATTTTACAGTCGTTGCCATATTTTCAAAGGTCTTGGCCTTTGAAGAGAATTAATACCCATGGCATTACACATCTTCCACCATGCAACATTAAACAGGACACGCTTTTTGACATATTTATCCTTTGTTTCACATCAGAAATTAGTTTGTTACCAAAAAGCTCATCCATCATGATAACATTAAAACTCCCTGTAGTGTTTAGTGACTTCTAAAGAGAACAGAAATTAGTTTTTAAGAAGCCTTGCCTCCTAAAACAACTGCATGTTTTACTTTCTGAGAAGTGCTCAAGTTAGTAGGTTTTTCTTAAACTTATTAATGTTTATGGAACTTGGAAATCAAATCTCCCTTCTTTCTTGCATAAATGGGGAGCCATTAAAAAACATTTTGACAGAAGATAGCATATGCATTGTTCAAGTGCTGGTTATTACACATTCAGTGAACGGAAACCTTTGGCAAGTTCTTGTTTCTGTTACAACTAGTCCTTAACAGTATATCTTATTACATAAACACACACACTGATAGATAGATAACATATGCACCGCTGTGTATGAGTAATGCTTTCAGAGTCAGAGCAACTTAGGACTGATAACACTGTTTAACAGTCGGCTTATCAAACCACAAGGAAATGCCAATTCCCCCTAGAGAGAAAAGGAAACATTTTCATGATGCAGTAATTCAAAAAATTCAAAAGTAATTAGAAATCAGCTGATGTACAAGGAAGTAATACGGCTTACCTCATCTCTGGCTGAAATGTGGGTCATTTTCCTTAGAAACGTAATGCAGGTGTATAAGGGACTTTTTTTCTTCTTTAGCAGGAACCAGAGATGAATGTCCATTTCCTCAAGCTGAGCTAAAAACAAAGAAAACAAAATAATAACCACAGCATAAATACCAAGAAGGATGAATACAAGATTTACTTTGTAAGGAAGATTTAAAAAAAAAAAAGGTTTGTCCATCATTGAGCCTTGCTCACAATCAGGGGCATTATCATCATAAGCCAAGGAATCCCATAATAATCAACAACTAGAGTCAGGGCCTTACTCTGGGACTCAAAAATACTGAGGTTGAGCAGTCACTTCTAGGTGGGTTCAGCGACATGCACTCCAGAAAATGTTTTTAATTCCATCAGTTACTCCATTATTTAAATCTAGCAATTTTTAGAGTCTTAAGGATCAAAAGCAACATCATTATGACTTTTGAATAGGCTATACGGTCCATTTCTGACATGTGTCACAAAAGACATTGCAGTATAATTAAAATACGTTACTTCAGATAGATAGATAGATAGATAGATAGTGAAACGGTGTGTAGTCCATAAATATTGTCTTAAATTGTTTTCAGTTTGTGGAAAAAAGTGACACACCTGCAGCTTTAAATTACATAAAGTTTACATTTAGCACTAGAAGAAGGCCAAATTAAAATAATAGTTGTATCATTCTATCTTTTTGCATTACGATTGATAACAAATTAATAAAAACGACCAATACTGCAATTTAAAAGTAAAATCACTTTTAGAGCAGACCTTGCTAGTTTAGGCGTAAGATGTAAAAAAAAACAAAAAAAA